CTGCTATATTGCTTGCTGTCAGAAAGCATCTCTGTAGGATATTAACTCATCAGAGTGCCTGCTTCTGAAACATTTCTAGTCCATGCCTCAAGGTTTTTAATGTCTGTGTTAAAATTTTGGTAAAATAAACTGTGTTTTGGGGAGCACAAAATAGGCACAACCTCAAATGCCCAGATGTCTTCATTTTTCAGTACAGGAAATGCACTTCATGCCCTGAATGAATGAAACTTTACATAATATTTTGGTCATGGATATCTGAGGACAATATTCTATTTGGTGCCCATCTGTCCATCTTTGGAAATCTAGCTCCATACTGGTAAATTTAGCTTCCTCAGTTTCTCCTATGTCTTATCTTCAAATTTTGTTGTCCTCCTTTGTATTTTCTCTGCTTTTTCTATATTTTCCCTATTCTGTGGAGGCCAGAACTCCACCCAGTATCCAGGGGGAGGGATGCTGGGTTTCATTTTAGGGCAAGATATTACTAGAAACGGACAGAGATAAATGGAGGTTCCACCATACTGGAAATCGAAATATATGACCAGAGGAGGTCAGCTAGAGAGTAATGACAGTCCAGTGGTTCAGACAGTAGCCTGGGACGTGAGAGACCTGGGTCAGGTTCCCTGCTCCACCACTGGATTCGTGTGTGACTTTAGGTAAGTTATTTGGTCTTTCTGGGTATATCTACGCTGCAAGTAAACACCTGTGGCCACTGACTTGGGCTCAGGCTGTGGGGCTATAAAAATCACAGTGCAGATGTTCTGGCTGGTTCCATGTCTATTTCCCTAGCTGTAAAATAATAATACTGCTACTTGTCTACGTGACAGCTGTTGTGAGGCTGACTTTGTTAATATGTGCACAGTGCTCTGAAGAGTTAAGCTATTGCACTGATTATTAGTATTAAATCCATGCACTGGATGACTGTTTTAAGATGTTGAGCTTCTGAGAATAGTTTTTCTAGTGATATGACACTGATTTATTCTGTCACTTTGTAGCTTCTGATAGGGATTTCATATGTGGCTCAGAAATGAATTAAAGGTGCACTTCCTTGAATAGACCTAACAACGGAGCAGGGTATTGTTCTTTCCAATGCTTAAACGAAGCACTTAGTGATGGTCTATACCTATAACCAACAAGAAATCTCCGCTGCCTCTGAGAATTGTCAATCCTCTATCTTTTTTCTTTGCTAGCACTGATTAGTAACTCAACACTTTAGCTATAGATTGTACAAGGAATTTCATCCATTCCACTTAGTGTTTGAAAAGTAGATCATTAAATTACCTTATCAGAAGATGAAAACTTTCCCCCCGTGAATTCATAAGCTACTAACAAACAATTATCTAGGTTGCAACACTCCTGGGCTTGGGTTAGTGGTATCTATTCATGCTGCAAAGCTGGATGGCCTCTTGGTCCAGAAATAGTTCCTAATCCATGCAGCTGTTCAATCTCCCTGTGAAGTCTTTACCACCTTCTGCTAAAAATTATGGAAATAAATTATACTAAAGGAAAGCATTATTTTGTTATGATCCACACTCTTAGAATGAATATATGTAACTTTGATATACCCATTCTCTGTATGAAAGAGTACATCTTTCAAAGAGCCTATTACAATTTCTCAGCTGTTTAATGTAGCAAGCATAATGTAACTTTCTTGTGAAGGGTACATTAGATGGTAAAATAAAAACAACATGTTTGACTTATAACAGTTCAGGAGGCAGAAGAGAGAGATAATATACTTACTGATTATTTTATGAATTTGCAGCAGAACTTGACAAAGAAATATCTTTGCTGAGAAATATTTTTAGTCACAAAATAAAGATGTTGTATAAAATATTTTCCTTTGACCACCCATGTCCAAATACATGTTAATATTCTGTTTTGATTACCTTTTTCCTAGTGCAAATTTTCCTGTCTATCTGCAAACATTAGCCAGGGGGATATACTGAGCAATTTCCTATCCTCGGTAGCTTTCGGGACAGAGCCTGTCCACTTGTGATTATTAAAGACCTCATGACAGATTTCTAAGAGTAAAGGTGTTAACTCATGTATCTTGGATACATTACTGACATATTATGATGGGGTTTGTAAACCCCACACTAAGGCTGAGGCAGGGGAAAGGCTGGAGCAGAACTGGGCCAGAAAACCTCTGCTCCTCAGGCACTGCTGGGAAAGGAGCAGGATAAAGAGAGGTCCAGCAGCCCAAGCAGGGTGGGAGGAGAGAAGTCACTTCCAGGAGGAGGAGAAGCTCTTACCGAGGAGGTCTGATTGTGAGTCTTTCCCCTGACTCCTTTGGGACCTCACCCCGGGGTAAGGAGAACTACTTGCAGGGCCACCAGAGAGTCATCTGTATCAGCCCTGAGACTCTGGGGTTTGGAGCAAAGAATCGTAATTAAATAGTAGCCATGCCCAAAACTGAGGGAGGGGGTTGGGTAGGAAGTGGCCTGGGGAAGTTGAGCAGGAGGTGGGCCGAGCGTAGGCTACCCTACACTGTCACACTTTCAGGTCTCAGCCAGGACGTGGTGGAGCAGGAGGGCCTGGATCGTCCCCCAGCTAGCCCAGATTCCCCTATGCCTAGGGCTGGGATGGGCAGGACTGGGAAGGAACAGACCCAGCTGAACCCTGTTCAGAAGGTCCCTGATACATTGAACTAAAAGAGAAACTGGAGCAGCAGGCCCTGACCACTAGGCCAGCTGCCCGAACAGACAACCCCACTATAGCTACCTCAGCTAAACTACAATTCAGTTGATTACATTCTACTTTTCTCCCCATCCTTTCAGTCCTCCAACCAATAGCTTCACTTCCTGTGCTATTACGTAATGTTGGCAGGCACGATTAGTCACGTTGCATGTACACCCTCCAGAAGTTGCTGATTTTGGTGGTCACTGAAGTGGCTCCTAAATGAAAAAGTACATGTAGCAGGGTGCTGGTGCAGAGGCACCTAATTAGCCCCTGCTCAGCCAGCCCCAATCAGGGGAAATAGATTGGGGCTGGGGAGAAGTCTGGTGCCTGGCCTTTAGAACTGGCTGCACCTGTGGGCCTGAGGGCTATAAAGGCTGGCTGGCAGCCAGAAGGAAGGGGGAGTGGCCAGGGGAAGGTCAGTCTCTGGGCTGAGAGCAGGTTCTGGGTAGAAGTGGAGATTGTAAGGCCTGCAAACTGTATATAGCATATCACGGGTGGTGGGAGAAGTCTGTAAATAAAGCCACGGGTGCTGAAGAAGGAAAAGCCTCTCTGTGCTTTATTGGGTCAGCCAGTAGGCCCCAGGAAGAAGGCCGGGCAGAGGACTTGTTACAGTACATTATTAGCAAAGCATGTTTGAGAGAGTGGTGTGGTCTAGTGAGCTGGCACAGAGCTGGTTCTTCCAAAATGTTGAGTTATGAAAGGGGAACAAGATCAGGTAGGGAAATATTATGTCTAGATGATTATCTGACACTGGAAACAAGAGGAGTCTAATAAACTCCCTGAAATGGGAAGCACAGCAGACCTACAGTATTTCACTGCTAGCTAAGTTGTGCCAATGAAGGGCAAGGAGCACAGACTTTGCACCAGAGAGCTGCCACCCAAAAAAGTACTTGTAGTCTGATTTTTCCTGTTATGATGTTCTGTTTTCTTCTAGCATGTGTTGAATAGCAGTAATTAGGCTTAGCAATATTCTGTTTTGTTAAGATAATTTATACATGATGAACTGTAGTGATATTTTGTGCGCTTCCAGATTGCTTTATCCCCAACAGCTTTAAATAGAAATTAATTTCATCCTTCCTTTTTGATGAGCATGGTCCCTTCGTTCACGCTGCAGGTGTCTAAAGCCATTTATGCATATTTGTTCCAATAATTTTCCTCTGTTGATTTTTAAATCCTAAGAAACTAATGAAGTGCCTTCATTAGTGTATGCATTCTGTGACAGACCCAGACCAGTGGGGTACAGGAGTCTGGTAGAGGGCAAATATACTGGTCACTGGATGAGTAGTTTTCTGTTCCCTGAGTGACCAGAGCAGGGGCTGCACTAGAGTAATCAGGAACCTGCTAGAACCAGTTAAGGCAGGCAGGCTAATTAGGACACCTGGAGCCAATTAAAAAGAAGCTGCTAGAATCAATTAAGGCAGGCTAATCAGGGCACCTGGGTTTTTAAAAGGAGCTCACTTCAGTTTGTGGTGCGAGTGTGAGGAGCTGGGAGCAAGAGGCGCAAGGAGCTAAGAGGATGTGCTGCTGGAGGACTGAGGAGCACAAGCGTTATCAGACACCAGGAGGAAGGTCCTGTGGTAAGACTAAGGAAGGTGTTTGGAGGAGGCCATGGGGAAGTAGCCCAGGGAGTTGTAGCTGTCATGCAGGTGTTACAGGAGGCACTATAGACAGCTGCAGTCCACAGGGCCCTGGGCTGGAACCCGGAGTAGAGGGCGGGCCCGGGTTCCCCCCAAACCTCCCAATTGACCTGGATTGTGGGTTCTTCCAGAGGGGAAAGTCTCTGGGCTGTTCCCCAACCCACATGGTGAATCTCTGAGGCAAGAAAATCCGCCAATAAGCGCAGGACCCACCAAGATAGAGAAGGAACTTTGTCACAATTCTTACAGTATTTCTGTGGAGCTGAAATGGAAGCTCCCTCTGTAACTAATAAGATAAAGTACAAAATTTGTTCCTAGAACTAGACTAAAGCTATACTTTGAGGGCTATTTTATGAAAGATCTTGTCGGGGTCATGAAACAACCATCAGAAGTGGATTTAGTGGAAGGAGCCATAGTACAAAATTATCTCCTTCTTTTTAGGAGTTACAATGATTATTGGGATATCAGAATACCATTTTGCTAAGGTAATATGTGTAGGACAAAGGCAAATATTTTCAGTGATTACACGATGGTATTGTAGTGAATTATGAAAATCTATCAGAATCAGGCATTTCCTCCAGACTACTAAAGACAAAGAATACGTAGCTCTTACATGGTGCTTTTCATCCATAGTTTTCAAAGCACTTTTTGTTCTGGGAATCTTGATTCTCTGTATATTTTGTATAGCATGTATCAACACCACCAGCAAGAAGACCAGGAGGAATTTCACACAGATAAAGTATCCAATCAGTATCAGGTTCTCAGCATGGAAACCACAGAAAACATCTCTGAAGATCCAGTTGGTGGAATGGAATAGAGAGCTGTATGGGACATAGGTGAGGATACTACTCAGACCAACCTGCAAGACTATCAGGTGTGCTTGTGAAGAGATTTCCATCCAGCCAAAGAAGACAGATTCTGTGCTAAGAAGAAAAAGAGAGGAAAAAAAAACACTCTGCGAGGGACAGGCAGACAAAAGGACTATGTGTTGTCTTCCCAGATCCATGGCACGGATGTGACTGAAAATTTGGATAGGCTTCTGATGTCAGCAGACAAAGCTCCACTAGTGAGGGAGCATTTCAGCACTAATGGCACAGCTTCACATGCTGCCCTGATTCTAGGGAACTCTGAAGGGTGCTGCAGGAGAGGAATGTCCAAGTGACCTTCTCAGAGATCCGTCCTGTCCCATGAACAAAGGAAGGCAGAAAATTCTGGAAATGACCCACGGGTTAGATGAGTGGTGTAAAGTAGATTGTTTGGATTTTGTGGAACTTTGGGCCATTTTCTATAGGGAAGGGGCTCTATATAATTTGGATGGCCTCCACCTCAGTAAAAGAACCAATCTTCTAGGAGACAGGTTGCCTAGACTAGTCAGGAGGGGGTTAAACTAACAACAAAAGGGGAGGATGGACAGGGGAAACAAGCACTCATTTCACACAAAGTCAACATGTCAAAAACAAAATTAATCAAAGCACCAAGGGATGTAAACAGAAGAAATTCTTAATTATATACACCAATGCTAGGGGCCCGGATAATAAATGACAGGAATTGGAATTGCTTGTTTATGAGTATAAATTCAATGTAGTTGGTATTACTGAAACCTGGTGAGAAGATTTGCATGATTGGAATGTTAAAATCGCTAGTTATAACCTATTTAGGAAGGATTGTCTAGGCAAAAAGGGTGGGGATTGGCTTTGTCAAAAATGGCATTACTTTTTTTTCAAGTAACTGACAACTCAGAGGCAAATTATCCTGAATGCTTATGGATCAATGTTTAACAGATAAAGCACAAGACAGGGTACTAGTTGGTGTCTGCGAGGGCCATCAAATCACACAAACAGGATAACAGGCTCCTTAAGCCCCTATCTATAATGTGTAGAGGGAGGAAAAAGCTGCATTATCGGGGGGAGTTCATTCTGAGTGACATATGGGGGAAGCAGTAGATGTGGTCTATCTTGATTTTAGTAAGGGGTTTTAATACAGTCCCACATGACATTTTCATAAGCAAACTAGGGAATGTGGTCTAGATGAAATTACTAGTAAGTGAGTGCCCAACCGGTTGAAAGACTGTATTCAAAGAGTAATTATCAATGGTTTGCTGTCAAACTGGGAGGGTGTATCAAGTGAGATCCTGCAGCAGTCAGTCCTGAGTCTGGTACTAGTCAATATTTTCATTAATTACTTTGATCATGGAGTGGTGAGTATGCTTATAAAGTTTGCAGATGACACCAACGTGGGAGGGGATGCAAGCACTCCAAAGAACAGGATTAGAATTCAAAATAATCTTGAGAAATTGGAGAATTAGCTTGAATTCTGCAAGATGAAATTCAATAAAGATAAGGGTAAAGTACTACACTTAGGAAGAAAAAATCAAATGCACAACTACAAAATGGGGAATAACTGGCTAGGTGGTTGTTATGCTGAAAAAGATTGGGGTTATAATGGATCACAAACTGAATGTGTTAACAATGTGATGCAGTTGTGAAAAAGGCTAATATTCTGGGGTGTATTAACAGGAGTGTTGAATGTAAGACCTGGGAGTAATTGTCCCACTCTACTCAGCACTGGTGACACCTCAGCTGGAGTGTTGTGTCCAGTTCTGGGCACCACACTTTAGAAAAGATGTGGACAAATTGGAAAGGGTCCAGAGAAAAGCAACAAAAATGATAAAAAGTTTAGAAATCTGACCTATGAGGAAAGGTTAAAAAAATTGGGCATGTTAATTTTGAGAAAAGAAGACTAAGGGGAGACCTGGTTAGTCTTCATACTGTGTCTGACCATAAAGCAGCCCAATCACTAATCAGTTGAGATTAAGGTGTTCTAGTTTGGGGGTTGCTGATAACATTTTGGAGAAGTTCTCTGTCCTGAGTTATACAGGAGGTCAGACTAGATGATCACAATGGTCCCTTCTGGCCTTGGAATCTCTGAACATGTTAAGTGCTGTTATAAAAATTATGGGGGATTAATTGTTCTCCATGTCCACTGCAGGTAGGACAAGAAGTAATGGGCTTAATCTGCAGGAAGGGAGATTTAGGTTAGATATTAAGAAAAAACTTTCTAACTATAAGGGTAACTAAGGTCTGGAATAAGCTTCGGGGGGCTGTAGAATTCCCTTCATGAGGTTTTTAAGAACAGGTTGGACAAACACCTGTCAGGGATGGTCTAGGTTTATTTGGTTCTGACCCATCACAGGGGACTGGACTTGATAACCTCTTGCGATCCCTTCCAGCTCTACATTTCTAGGATTCTATTTTGGAGGTTTCATGCTGCCAGTACTCAAACATCCTTGGAATTACTAAAAATTAAAGAGGACAATTTGCTAACGCGAGGAGCATTGCATCCAACACAGCAATTCTATATCAAACCTGACCTTGACAAATAGAGATGAATTGATCATATAACTAAAAATTCTTGGTTGCTTAAGTACAAGTGATCATGTCTTCATGACATTTATTATGTACAAACAGAATAAAATCCCAAACAATAATTATTTATTTTATTTATTTATATTAGTTGGTGCTTTAAAAGGGCCAGTTTCATAAAGCTGAGAACAATTATGAGCATAAACTGGGAGAAAAAGTTTTAACAAAACATGAATGACAGTAGGGACCTGCTTAAGAATATTTTACTAGATGTCCAAAAGGCACAATCCCAAACTCGACAAAGAAGGCTATATTGATTATCTAGATACAAAAAATGTAGGCCATACTTCCAGGATGGGGGACTCTATCCTGGGAAGCAGTGATTCTGAATAAGATTTAGGGGTTGTGGTGGAAAATCAGCTGAACTTGAGGTCCCAGTGTGACACGGTGGCCAAAAGAGCTAATGCAGTCCTGTGATGCATAAACAGGGAAATCTTGAGTAGGAGTGGAGAGGTTATTTTAGCTCTGTATTTGTCATGACTGCAACTGCTGCTGGAATGCTGTGTCCAGTTCTGATTCCCACAGTTCAAGAAAGATTTTGATAAATTGAAGACGGTTCAGAGAAGTGACATGAGAAAGATTGAATCTTATTCTTCAGTCAATCTTAATAAAGAGGTCAAGGTGTGATTTGATTACAGTCTATAAGTATCTACATGGGGAACAAATATTTAATAATGGATTCTTCAGTCTAGCAGAGAAAGGTATGACATGATCCAATGGCTGGAAGCTGAAGATAGACAAATTCAGACTGGAAATAAAGCATACCTTTTTGACAGTGAGGGTAATTAATCGTTGGAATAACTTACCATGTGGATTCTCCATCACTGACAATTTTTAAATCAAGATTGGATGTGTTTCTAAAATATGTGCACTAGGAATTATTTGGGGGGATTTCTATGGCCTGTGTTATATTGGAGATCAGACTACATGATCACAGTGGTCCCTTCTGGCCTTGGAATTTATGAATCTATATATCAAAGGTTAGTTGAAAGGTTAGTAATGTTGCAGTTTTTATACTGGAGACAAAAACATGGTTTCTGTGTGTTTCAATTATTCAGATCTGTTTGCTAAAATCCTAGATGGTCTTTTACTTGCAAATATCATTAGAATCGCTCCTTGACAGAGACAGAAATGTACTAGTTAATGTATTCCTATGCATACCCATGGGATATTGCTTTTTTGCTTCTCCTCCTGATAACCTAGACCCATCAAAGCATTTTAATTTTAATCCAGTCAGGTGGAAAAATTAAAGCAGATATTTCTGATCAGCCTCCTAGCCTTACTTGCAAATAACCAGGAGAATGCTGGCAGATACCTGTTCTGCACACAGAAAGGCAGATCTAAAGTTGCACGCAGCTGCTTACAGACTTTCAATTTTTGCTCAGCAGGGTCTCCCAAGTGACACTGCGAGGGCAGAGGGGAAGGATGAGCAGGGAGAATCAGTTTCCTACCAGATTGGACATAAGCCTTATTTTTCCAGTTTAGTGGAACACTGGACATTTTTCTCGATCACTGTGATTAAAAAGTGGTATGTGACATAGTGCATTGATTTTTTTAAAAATGTTAATAATTTAATAGCATTCACTTTTGTGCCATTTGCTTTGTTTGCTTTCATTCAGCTGACGATCATGGAAACATGTCCAGGGATCTTAATTATCTTAAAACTCCATCATTAATAACAGCTGTAGTAATGCTTGTTTTGTGTTTTATATTCAAATAAAGTCATAGGCCACAGTCCTGCAAATGCTTAGGCATGTGAGTAACCTTCCCATGTTAGTTGTGACAACTAACTCAGTGGTACTATTCACATGTGTACAGTTACTCGCTTGCATACATTTGTAAAAATAAAAGGTATTCTTTACTTTTTAATGATTCTCAATGTGCCTGATTCTTATCAACTGTGTAAAGGACAATTTCAGTTTCAGCCTTAATAAGTATTTATCAGAGTTTAAAACTACCTAGGAGAATCATAGAAAATTGGAAGCTAAAGATGAAAGTTTTTTCTATGAGAACAGTGTCAGAGTATTTGCTAGCCCCTTTAAGGGAAGATACTGGCCCAGCACAACCCTGTTCCCAGTTCAGCTGAAAAATAAGGCATTCTGGGAATCATAGTTGCAGGGGCTGATCGGAAATGTAGGCCTCACAGTAAGGAATGCTGGGAAATAAGCTGTGTATCTAAAAACTCCCTTTTGCTTAGTGAGATGAGGGAGACCTAAATGAAATAGGAACTGCTGTGGGGTCTCTCCACTTCCTTTTGATGAGCCTAGGAAGAGGAGAGGTCTAGGGGGACAGCCACGGAGCTAAGGAAAATACCCCAACAGGAAAGGCTGGTGGTTTGACCACTAATTCAAAGAAAACCAAGCCCCGAGTGTGAAATTAAAGGACTGTCACATAA